GAAAAATCATATTTAATCCAAAGTCAGAAAAATGTATACTTTTCTTCTAGAGTTTTGTTATTTTAACTCTCATATTTGATACATCTTGAATTAAGTTCATTTGTGGTGTGAGGTAAGGGCTTAGTGTCATTCTTTTGTATGGTGGCTAGCTCTTTATATTTTAACTATAATTCGTTAGGGTTTTTGTTCTTGTTTGTTTCTAGTGTTGCTCAAGCATTTACAATGCATGCTGTAACTTAATAGAAGTTGCCGTAAATTTCTCGTAACTGTAGTGATACCTATAAAATTTCCCTGTTTTGTAGCTCCATCTATTTATCTGTTATTATATGTGTTATGTCTGTGTTAGAATATAACAAATCATTGTTTTTTTTTTTTAAAAAAAAAAAAAAAGAAGAAGAAGAAGCAGGGAGTTACCACCGTGTGGCAGTCTTCTCCAGACTGAAACACCAGGAAGTGAGCAAACTTCAGTCTTCTCCAGACTGAAACACCAGGAAGTGAGCAAACTTCACGCGTCCCAGAAAGCTGAAACAAAGGTCACTAGGGCCCTCCCTAAGGTCACAGAAGCAGGGAAGAGCTACTGAGGTGGCCGACCAGCCACGCTGCCCAGAGTCTCAGCCCTGTCTGAAGGCTGTGTAAAGAGTTCTAGGAACGCAACCTTCCTGAGCCCTGTTTTTCCATGACGCAGGTTCCTTTGCATGGGTTTGTCTGGTCTGCAGATTTAATAAGTCATTATGTACTGAAGGAGGCTACTTCTGGGAGGATGTTGAAGGGAAGGCAGGTCCTGGGAGAAGGCCCACCCACAAAGGTGGGGCATAACCCAAAGCCCCAAAGTGGGACAGATCAGATAACCTGTTGAGTGTTCTGGGTGGAGGGGTCCTGCCATTTGAAAGCAAATAGGAACTGAGAGTCTGGATGGAGAGAACACGAAAGGATCCCTAACATCTAACACTGTGAATGAGGAGGCCTCAGAGGATGTCCTAGTTTACTTTTTCTTGCGCTGATGAACTCCATGACCAAAAGCAACTTGGAGAGGAAGGGGCTTATTCAGCTTACAGGTTACAGTCCATCACACAGGCAGGAACTCAAGGCCTGGGGGAAGGAACGGAAGCAGAAGCCATGCAGGAACACTCTTTTACTGACGTGCTCCCCATGGTTTGCTCAGCTGCCCAGGGGTGTCACTGTCCACCCTCCCAGATCAACTATCAAGGCTAAAAGTGCCCCCCACAGACATAATCACGGGTCAGTCCGATGGAGGCAATCCTTCAATTAGATTACCTCCTCACAGGTGACTGTAGTCTGCATCAAACAGAAGATGCCTGTCCCAGAGCATTAAAGAACTGCAAACTGTAGGGTGGGTTAGAACCACACAGCCTCATTTATTGTTGTCGGGTCCTGGACCGTTCTAGAAGATCCATCTGATTGCTTTACTACCCAAATGGGGTGGTACATATAGAGGGTTACATGGGTGTCCTAGCCCAGCAGTCAGAAGTCACTGAAATGACTAAGCCTTCCTTTAAGCTGTATTGGGGTTTTTTGAGGAAAACCATTAGAGCCCTTAAGAGTAATTGTTGGCCAGGCAGTGGCAGTGCACACCTTTAATCTCAGCCCTTGGGAGGCAGAGGCAGGTGGATCTCTGAGTTTGAGGCCAGCCTGGTCTATAGAATGAGTTCCAGGACAGCCCAGGCTACACGGAGAGATCCTGTCTCCCCCCTCCCCATCCCCCCCCCCCCCGTCCCCCCCCCCCCCCGCCCCCGCCAAGTAATTGTGACAGGGGTGGCTGTTACCTAATCTCCAGGGATGAAGGCCCCATACTTCAGGTGACACTTGCCAGGTGAGGCAGGAGTCTACAGTAGAGACTATAGGAAAGACATCTGAGGCTCCAGGTGGCTCTTGGCCACTATGGGACAGGGAACTTGGTGTTAGGAATGCCACAAGAGCCTATGGAGTTTTTTAAATGGACCTGAAATTTAGACATAATATCTCTACCTGGGAAGGGATGGGGCAACAAGGCAGGACCAGAAAGGGATGAGTGAAAAGATACTTGTCTGTCATATAAATTATAAGGGGGTTCAACTGGGCTACTTCTGACTTTCCATAAAACAGTGAGGAGAATAGGAAGTGAAAGGTTGAACTGGAGCCACCAGAGTTGAAAAAAATAGTTCCATGGTATCTAAAATGAAAGTAATGTTCCTATCACATTTTGGCTTATCCAAGGCCATCCACAGAGGTGGAGAATACAGGAACCCTATCTTGGCAGTAAAGAAGTCAGAGAGATTGTCCAGAACATGTCAGGACCTGAGTTTAGTAAAGAACAGATGGAGAGAAGGATTGGGGGGGGGGAGTCTGGGAGGGAAAGAGGGATCAGAGTTAAGTGGAAATGGGGCTGGATGGATTGTGAAGCTTGTCCTCTGGGAAAGGAGCTGGTGTAAGAGAATCTGGTGAGACATAACGTTCCTCCCACATGTGAAGGTCCTGTGACAAGGCTGTGAAGGTTTGGACACAGGAATCTCTGAGTCTTTTGAAATTATGAGAAAAAGAGTTCTAATTACAAGATACAAGCATAGCTTAATGAGACTTTAGGCTATCAGCGTTCTTGGTCTAAGAGTGGATAAAAAGAATAAATTTTGTTACAAGGGAAGATAACTTCTTGAGGGTCTGAGGATCAAACAGCAGCTTTTCGGATACATTGCAGAGATGCATGCAGAGACGATGGTGACTTTGAGACCAACGTGGGTCTTACCAGAGACTGAGCACATACCCCCCGAATATATCCCTTACAGTGGTGGGTCAATCTGTGTGCGCTGACTCCGAGGCAGGCCTTCTTCCTGGGCATCCCCAAGGGAAAAAGAACCATGCCCTGTAGCTGGAGAGCCTGCAGAGCATTACAGCTGGCCTGAATTCCAGAGTGTTAGCACCTGGGCTTTGGACTGCTTTTTGTGACTGTTGGCTTTTGGGATCTCTACCTTTTGTTTGAGGTGTTTGAATCTTATCAGAGTTCTTTCAGAAGGGTTCAAGGCCTCTGCAAAATTTGGCTGTGAGAGAACTTGGAGAACCAAGAGGCCTTGTGACTGAGAATTGCTTTGGTGTTTGTTTCCTTCGGGGAAGCTTCAGATAAGAGGTTTTGGTATGCGGAAATTGACTTGCTAAGGTGTAATTTGTATAACAATAAAAAAGGCCTTTGGCGAAGCAATGGCAGTCAGTTCACCAGAAAGTGGCTTCCTTGCTGCTGCTAAGGCAAAGTTCATCCCGGAGTGACCTAATTTCTTCCACTGACCCTCACAAAAGCGAACACTGACAATCCCCTATGGAGGTAAAATCCAGTTTCACTCCAGAGCTAAACCTTCTAGTTGATCAGGCTGGACCAACCTCAAAGGAACAAGCCGTCCACACAGCCCTCGTGAGGGGAGGGACTCTGACCATCCCCAAAGTCAGCGAGTTTGGCTGGGAAGGAGACTGCAGGTTCAGACACCTCCACTATCCTGCTCCCTTCTCCTCTGAGGAGCGAGGCTGGTGCTGGGATGGGGAGAGGAATGAGAGGAGAGGAAAAGGAAGGAGTCCTCAGAACATGCGGGAGTCACTCTAGATCAGTGCTTCTCAACCTGTGGGTCGCGATCCCTTTGGGGAATCGAACGCCCCTCACAGGGGTCTCCTAAGACCACCAGAAAACACAGATATTTACATTACGATTCATAACAGTAGCAAAACTGCAGTTGTGAAGTAGCAACGAAAATAATTTTATGGTTGAGGGCCATCACAACATACTGCATTAAAGGGTCACAGCATTAGGAAGGTTGAGAACCACTGCTCTAGCTGGATGCCACTCTCCCTGTACCACACATTGAGGGTGAGGGGGTTTTCAGAAGGAAGAAAAGAAGTCCTTGCCCTTACAGACTATAGTGGCTTAACCTCCTTCAGGTTCTACCAAAGCACTCAGGATCTGTCAATTGCAAAGAAGAAGAAAGACTTTCCACAAGGGGCCCAAAGTAACCTTCTAGCTAATAATACCTTGATGGGAGATGCCAGTCCAGAGTCACAGTGCAGAGGTTTCCAGACCTCTGGAGATGTGACCCAGACACAAATCTCCAGTTGCATGGGAACAGCTTAGCTGGCCACCACAAACATCATAGTTTAAAGGATCAAGGCAAGGGGTGAGGTCCCCTAGGAGGCTGCCAAAATATGCTGGGAATGAGGAGCCCAAGGAACAGAGAGGTACTTACTAAGCCAGAACTGACTGACGCACAAATTGCAGTAAAGGATAGGCACTGTGGAGTCCATCACAGTGAGCAAATTATCAAGAGAGAATTACACCTAACCCCGGGAAGAACTAAGTCCTTTTATAGCAGTTAAGAGAAGTGACTTGGCCTTGCCTCTTGGGCACTGTGTAGGGATCATATTGGAATTGCTCAGTGGAGTTTGGCAACTCATTACCTTCTTGGGTAGGTACATTTGTGATGCTTGCCCCTCCTGAGACTAGCCACTTAGTGGGCGGTGTCAGCGGTCCTTAGGAGTTAGGCTGTAGTTGCTTGTATAAGGCATGGTAAGTGGCTGGTTTAGGCTCCAAGCAGTCAAGGTCTTATTGTTAGAGTGTGGGGGTTCATACCCACCTTTGTTCTTATCTCCTCAAGCAGGGGAGAGAGAGAATGGTAGCATTTTAGGCTCCTTTCAAGTTATTTCTCTTAGCAGGAAGCTGCTGTGGTTTTAGTGTCTTGATGCAGGAGCATTCTCTTGCATCTGGTGAAGGCTAATGTCTACAACCTCCGCTCAAAACTACATTAGCCTGTCGTGGGAGTCTTCAAGAATAGCATGTAATTCCCTGACCCATCCCGACAGCTGGAGTGGCTCCTCTCAGATACCCCTAGAATAAATAAAACGTTTAAGAGGTTAGACACTTAAGACTTGCCAAATGATGTTAGTGAGTTCAATGGGCATTTCAGGCATCCCAAAGAAGGAACTGGACAGACAGACATGTGGATAATAGCAAGCAAAGCAAGAGAATTTATTAAGAAATGATTCACTTCACAGAGAAAGTTTAGCAGCAAACAGTAATGGCACCCTAAGGATTGGGGACCTTGTTACATAGGGTGGGCTTTTGAGGTCATTTGCATAGTGTCTTAGTTGGGGTTCCTATTGCTGTGATAAACACCACAACCAAACGCCATCTGGGGAGAAAAGGTCATTTCATCTTATAACCCTCAGGTCACACTCTGTTGCTGAGGAAAGCCAGTGCAGGAACTGGTCTGCTCTCCATGGCTCGGTCAGCTTGCTTTCTTCCACACCCCATGACCACTTGCCCAGGGGTCATGTGTGTGGCACTAAACATAATGGGCCCGGCTCTCCACATCAACCACTCATTAAGAAAACAGGCTTGCCTGTAGATGTAACCAACGGTCTTATTAAATAAGAAACACAGAGCCAATTCAGAGAAGAAAGCCAAGAGGTCAGAGCTAAGAGCCTCACCCTTTCTGATTCAGGGATCCTCTCCAGCCAAGAGAGCTCTCCGAAAAGGGACTACTTCCTGTGTGAATGTCTTTTTAAAGTCTTCCTGTTCTGCCTTCTCATTGGTTGTAAACCCAAACATGTGACTGCCTTGTCACTGCCTGAATGTACCGCCCTCCAGGTCCTTAAAGGCGTACGCCACTTGCTATGGCTCTGATAGCTCTGACCCCCAGGCAACTTTATTTATTAACATACAATTAAAATCACATTTCAGTACAAGTAAAATTCCACCACACTTGCCCATAGGTCAATTTTTTTCCTTCTATTGAAAATATTTTTTTTCCTCACATGATGTATCCTGATTGTGATTTCCCCTCCCTTTACTCCCCCCAGTTCCTCCTCACCTCCCTCCCATCCAAATCTATCTACCTCCTTTTTCTCTCATTAGAAAACAAACAGGCTTCTAAGGGATAATAATAAAATATAACAAAATAAGATAAAACAAAAACTATCATACCAGAGTTGGACAAGACAAACCAACAGAAGGAAAAGAACCCAAGAGAAGGCACAAGAATCAGAGACTCACTTGTTCGCACACTCAGGAATCCCATAAAAACACTAAACTAAAAGCCACAATATAGCTGGGCAGTGGTGGCACACGCCTTTAATCCCAGCACTCGGGAGGTAGAGCCAGGCGGATCGTTGTGAGCTCAAGGCCAGCCTGGTCTACACAGCAAGTTCCAGGAAAGGCGCAAAGCTACACACAATATATACACAGAGGACCTGGTGCAGACCCGTGCATGCTGCCTCAGTCTCTGTGAGTTCATATTAGTTTGCTCATGTTGATTTAGGACCTTGTTTCCTTGATGTCCTCCTTCCCCTCTGGCTTTTACACTCTTTCTACCTCCTCTTTCTCAGGGTTCCTTGAGTCCTAAGAGGAGGGATTTGATAGAGACATCCCATTTAGGGCTTAGTGTTGCAATGTCTCTCACTCTCCGCATAATGTCTGGCTGTGGGTCTCTGCATCTGCTCCCATCTGCTGCAGGAGGAAGCTTCTCTGATGATGACTGAGCAAAGCACTGATCTATGAGTACAGCAGGATGTCATTAGGAGTCATTTTGCTGCTGTCTTGATGTTTTGTTAGAACAGTAGTGTTTGGTTTTAACTTAGATCCCTGGCTATTTAGTCTCTGGTTCTTGGTCACCCAAGCAGTACAGGGTATGGGCTCCATCTCAAGGAGCGGGCCCTATATCAAATCAGATATTGGTTGGTGACTCCCACGAGGTTTGTACCACCATTGCCCCAGCATATCTTTCAGGCAGGACACCACTCTAGATCAAAGGGTTTGTGGCTGACTTGGTGTTTATGTTTCTCTTTGCTAGTATGCAGAGTACCTTCCTGTACCAAACATTCTAGAATGTAGGGGTGAAGGCTCTAGGTAGGCACCAGCTCGACTTCTCCATGTTCAATGAGTTGTGTAGGTGTTGAGGCCTTGCTGTCAGTTAGTGGAAAGCCACAGCCTGGGTTGTTTGGGGAGTCCCATGGGACCCCTTTGGCCAACAACCCAATTAGGTGTAACCCAATCCCTATACTGGAAACTTCATTTGGTGACAAGAGATGGCCTTTTGGGACTCTGTCATCCCCATTATTTGGCGATTTCATTTAGCTCACCTTCATATATGTATATATTTTAGGAAACTTTTACTGTATTAGGTTTCAACACTGATCTCAAATTGCCCTTAATTTTAGCTGTCTCTCCCCACATTCCTTCCCTCATCCCTCCTCTCCTTTCCCTCCCCACTTGATTCTCCTATTCCAGCACCCTCATCCATCCATAACTATCTTTCTATCTCTCTTTCCTAATGAATCTATCTGTCTGTCACCCCCTACTTCCTTACTCTATACCTACTCTGTAGTTCTACAGGGTATAGGTTGGTTATCATTGACTTACTAGCTAATATCCACATATAAGCAAATACATACCAGATTTGTCTTTCTGGGTCTGGGATACCTCACTCAGGATAATTTTTCTCTAGTTCCATCCATTTATCTGTGAATTTCATGATGTCATTTTTTTTTAATGGATGAGTAATACTCCATTGTGTAAAAGTTCTACATTTTCTTTATCCACTCTTCTGTTTAGGGACATCTAGGTTGTTTCCAATTTCTGGCTATTATGAATAGAGCCCACATCATTTAATCATCAAGAAAACAGGATTGCCTACAGGCCAGTCTGAAGCGTTTTCTCAATTGTAGTTCCCTCTTTTCAGATGAGCTGTGTCAAGTTGACAAAAACCAATATGAAACAAAACCAGCCCGTACACACAGAATGGGCTTTGGGGAAGTTATTTGTATAGCATGAGCTTTCTCACGAATGCTCTGTCACATCAGTTTTTAACAAGTCAGAGGTCACCTTCAGGTGTTCTGGAGGGTCCCAGCATGTACTCCAGTGGCTCTGACCAGTTCTAGTTGACCTTGGCCAGTAGTGGTATGGGGTCCAGTCTTCCTCTTTGCCAACAGGGTTTTCTACTATGTTATTTTTTTTTACATTTATTTATTTATTTATTTATTTTGGGTATGTGTGGGACCAGAGCACAGCTTGTGGGATATGGTTCTCTCTTACCACCACGTTGGTTCCAGGGATTGAACTCAGGTTGTCGGGCTTGGTCGCAAGCACCCCTGCCAGATGAGCCTTCTCACTGTCTTCATAGTTTTTAGTATGCTAACTTTGCAGCTTTTGTGCGAAGACTCTGCCCTTCACTTCCCACCCATTTCTTCTGCATCATCAGGCCAGATGGCCACGCCTAGCCTAGGGGAGCATGGGATGTCCCCCTAAAACTGTGGTTACAAAGAGGATGAGCAGGGTAGAGTGTTCTCTTCATCAGGGCAAGCACTCTGCTGGTGCTGTGGGCAGAACCAACTGCCACATACGAGGAGGTGCTGCGGGGCCCCAAGGGATCCATTTCTTCCCCTCCTAAGGTTTGTTTCTTCTACCAAGGTCAGGCCGCTTAGAATAAGTGTCTGTTCTTATAGTCTAGAAGCATAATACTCAGAAAAGAACCATAGGCACGCACATGTATATTATATATTTATAGATTATATAGATGCATCATCCCTTCTAAGGTGAAGGTTCAGAGAATATTGCGGAGGGTGAAAAGAACCTGAGAGCTGAAGGAAGAGTAGTAGAGTGTGGTCGGAAAGTCATTTCCTCTGGCTTAGCACGATCACCAACCATGAGCAAGAAGATTGCTGCTTCCATCCACTGAACACCTTGGCTCACAGTCATGACAATGAAATAAGAAAATACTACTGTTCTAAACAGATTGGTGTTGGGCGTGAAGCTGTCAGCATTCCCTCTTAGAGGGACATGAGGGCCAGCGGACCTGAGGTTCCAGCCACCGCTCCCTCAGACCCCCATCTGTATCTTGTCTGGAGTGGGTATCCAGGTGTATATGAGGTGGAAGTTTCCTAGGGACTGGTAATCTACTGGTGCAGTTTTTGTGAGTTGTCACCCACGTTGAGTAGAACTTTTCAGTGATGGAGCCACCATGGAGTAGTGGAGCCACCATGGAATAGTGAAGCCATCATGGAGTGGTGGAGTCACCATGGAGTGGTGGAGCCACCATGGAGTAGTGAAGCCATCATGGAGTGGTGGAGCCACCATGGAGTGGTGGAGTCACCATGGAGTGGTGGAGCCACCATGGAGTGATGGAGGCACCATGGAGTGATGGAGGCACCATGGAGTGATGGAGCCACCATGGAGTGATGGAGCCACCATGGAGTGATGGAGCCACCATGGAGTGATGGAGCCACCATGGAGTGGTGGAGTCACCATGGAGTGGTGGAGTCACCATGGAGTGGTGGAGCCACCATGGAGTGATGGAGGCACCATGGAGTGATGGAGGCACCATGGAGTGATGGAGCCACCATGGAGTGATGGAGCCACCATGGAGTGATGGAGCCACCATAGTGGTGGAGGCACCATGGAGTAGTGGAGCCACCATGGAGTCTCCATGCTTTTGTAAGTAACTCCAGTAAACTGCTTCGCCAGTCTGTACTTGGATGGAATCCTTTCTTTGGTATCTGGAGGGTGAGCAGACTTTTGGTTTCTGCAGAAAAGGTCATAACAAATAGGGGACAGTTAGGCAGTAAGAGCTGGATGAAGTAGAAGTTGGGAGTGTGGCGGGCAACCCCTAGTTGGGGGCTCTGGCTCCAGGTATGGCCGCAGCATTTGAGCCAAGACAAAAAAAAAAAAAAAAAGCACACAGAGAGAAAGCCCAGGGCTATCACACTCCAAAAGTGACTGGCTTTGTAGCTGATCCTGGTCTGTGGAGCCCCTTTGCAGCCTGAGGCCACACCCCCAGAGAATGCAGGGACCAGGCCAAATGTCAGTCTTCTTCACAACAGACTCCAGCAGACCACTACTCCAGCCACTGGCCTTGTAATCAACAGGCCCACTACCAAATGGAAACGCCACCAAGAGGCTCAGGGCTTCAGCAGCAGTGTGTTACTGTTGAACATAGCTTTATGACCATTGGGTCTCCTGAGCTGGAACCCCCTCTGAATACAGAGCAACATCGACAGCCATGTGCCGTAGAAGACAGCCTTCCAGACCACAGCTACTGCTCTCCTCCCTAACCATATAGGAGGTGTGAAGTCTGGCGGCCCCTCAAGGAAGCAGCCATTAGAGAGTCTTCTCAGAAGATGTCTCCTGGCTCTCCGAGCTCCATGTTCCTTCTTAGCCTCTCACAACTTGCATCTGGGTGACACCGAGGGCCCTTCCAGGACCATCTCCAGGACAGATCTCTATTCTAAACCCAGTGGCTGGCCACCAAGGCCCCATTCTGGTGCCTCAGGGGTTCTAGATCTGAAGTGGCAAGTATATGGTCTTGTTCCAGGGTCCTTCAAGTTGGTCTTTAAGAGTCTCAGTCCTCTGGTCCCTTCCAGGGAGCAGATACAGCCTCTCCAGGCCACCTGAGCTTCCTAGAGTGTTCAAAATCCACATCATGTTCAGGCAGATTTGGGGGGGCTCCTTGCTAGTATCACAGGTTCCTCTGGTTCGTGGCACATGCTCACTTCTAGGTGAGAGTCAAGCTCTGAGAATCTTGGCTCTTGTGGGGTATATTGGAGGACATGGCTGACATGGATGCATCTTGGAACTCCTTGGCCATGTAGTAGTAACAGATGGCGTCCAGGCAGCAGTTGGCATCTGAGAGTCTGCTTGTGACGGACAGGGCACGCCTGAAGGTATAACGGGCAGCACAGGTGCTCGGGCCCATGGAGAACTGCACGGTCAGGACCACGTGCAGCGGTAGGAAGCAGAAGATAAACACGGCCAAATTGGCCCAGACCATGTGGGTGGCCTTGCGGGTGGCCTCTGCCTGCGCTACATCAGTGGTTGGCCTCTGCGCCAGGGCAGTCACAACCTGCAGAGAGCAGAAGACCACTATGGCCAGTGGCAGGTAGAAGCCCAGCAGCGAGAAAGCAATGGTGCCGGAGTTTTGTCGGCTGTGGTTCCTGAAGCAGAAACCACCCTCCTGCAGCCCCAGGCGCCAGCGCACTACCAGGGAGATGACCACTACCACCCAGAGGGTCACACACACTGCGGCAGCCTGTCGTGGGGACCGCAGCTCACGGGCACGTATCGGATGCCGCACTGCCACATAGCGGTCCACAGCAATGGCCGTGATCAAGCTTATGCTCATGTACCGATTGACCAGGTAGATACCCTGTGAGAGCTGACAGACCGGAGTGTCCGAAGTGTCTTTCAGGGAGTGCAGCATGAATGGCAAGGAACAGAGCAGGCAGAGGTCAGCCACAGCCAGGTTGGTCATATAGACGCGGGTCTCTGTCCACTGGTGCATGCGAGAGCAGAATACCCAGAGTGCCAGGCCGTTGAGCAGCAGGCCCAGCACCAGCAGCAAGGCTGAGTAGGTGGTGAAGATGTAGGTGATCGAATCAGGCCATGTGCTGCTGCTGTTGCAAGTTGCATTCATGGTCCTGGGGCTGCAGGAGGGTCAGAAAGTCAGTGAGGGTAGGTAGAAGGAGGAGCCCTGGGGTAAGGCCCTACCCCTGTCCCAAGGCCTACCCAACTCGGTACAGGAATTCTGGAGCAAGCATGCACCACACTGTGAAACTCCCCTTTCCAAAGAAACCAGAGAAACTGTAAAAGTCTCAAAGTCACCCTCGAGACCTAACCTTTTCTCACTGGACAGGTAGGGAAACCAAAGACTCCAGAGATGTAGGAAGACCTAATGTTGCAGTGAGCAGCCCAAAGCTAGAGACAGAACGACTCCTCCATCTCTCCCTAGCCTTTCTCTCCTCAGACCAGCCTGTTGCAGGGGAGAGGGAAGGTGGGAGGAGTGTCTATAGGTCCAGTCCAGGAAGCCTCCAACTCTCCTGAGTTCAAGTCCTGGGTGGAGACTGATGCCTGCCAGCCTCGTTCAGCATGCAGCTCTCAGCAGGGAGGCCTCAGAGGCAGCCCCACCTATGGGTCCAATGATCCCAAGGCTGGGCCTTGCAGCTTTCTGCCCCCAACCTGACTGCAAGAAGACACCTACATTTGATTCATAGATATGGCCAGCACCCACTCTGCCCGGTCTGTCCCTGAAGCACAGGACCACAGTGGGTTTATATAACTTGAGATCACCTCTGGAAAGCTGTGGAAACTTCTGAGGTGCCACCACCAGGCATGCATCAGCCCAGGGACTAATCCCAAGCTCATGTCTGAGATCAGGGTGTCCACCTTGAGCTCAGAGGTACACAGTTCCCAGTGGTCATAGCCCTGTCCCTCCAGGACCTGGATATACTCAGAGGCCCACGCCACTCCACTGTCACGAATGCCCCCAAGGCCACCCTCCACTGTCTACACTGGCCCTTTACTCCCCTGTCTGCTCTCTACAATGAGGCCCAGGAGGGTTACTGAGTTCATCAAGCCCCCTCCCCCGTAGGCTTGGGCAGTGGCCTGGCATCTAGGGTATGGCAGTTGGTATGACAATCAGACTCCCCATCTCATCCTACTGTTGGGCCAGCCTCGGCTACCCCACCATAGGGGTGCTGGTGTGACTCCACAACATTGGGTGGGAGCTAACTCAAGAAACTGCCAGCAAGCGCTGAGCCCAGGCACACTGGACACCTGGCTCACCTCCTTGTTCCTTTCTGGGTACCAGGATCAGGAAGGGCTGCAGGCTGGGTGAGTCATGGGTCTAGGTTTTAATGGCTAGGAAGATGGGAAGATGACAGAGGAGAGGAAGAGCTGTTCACCAGGGAGAGTCAGGCCTTGGAGAAGTGGAAGGCATGTTTCCTTCCCCACACCGGAAATGGATAAGCACCCAGCCCAGTGATTGCAGACAGGGAGGTTAATGCATGCTAGATTGGGCCACGGTTCATTTCCTCTTTAGTCTCCAGGGAACCTACAAGGCCACAATCCATTAGAGAGGCCAGGCACAGACTCCAGCTGAGCTGAATATTTTGCTATCACATTTTTGTGTCTAGATTCCATATCTGCTAGATTAGAATGGGCTGATTGCCAGCAATCAGTTTCATGAGCCCTGCTCTGCAGTTTGTGTTTGTTTTTTCATACAACTCAGGGTTCTGAGGCCCCTGGAGGGCCCTGAGCCAGGGTGCGCTCTGAGGACATCCTCGAAAGCCCTGGTACTGACTACTAAGATGGCCCTTCCTGTCTGCCCTTCACTCCCAGATACACTCACCCAGAGGCAACCTGTGGGGCCTCCAGCAGAACATGTCCCTGGAGTTCGTTCAGTATCCAGGAGCAGGACAGAACGGGTCCTGGGCTGCCAATGGGGCAGGGCTCCATGCTGCCAGCAGCTGGGCTCCCACCTGAGGCCCCTTCACCTGAAAACATAGTCCCGCCCACACACACTCTTACTCTCTGCCTCTGGGCTTGGAAGGGGCAGCCTGGCTTCTCAGCTGCCTGAAACCTGTGGCTGTGAGATATGGGGCCATGCTTGGCCCCTCCCTAGTGCCCACTGTCTCACGTGGCTATATGGAGGCCTCTTGTTACATACCCAAGCTTGGAATTTTCAGGTTAGTCTCAACATGACCCAGCATTCTGTAGGGTCAGATCAAAACCTTTGTCCATGCCGGGCGGTGGTGGCACACGCCTTTAATCCCAGCACTTGGGAGGCAGAGGCGGGCGGATCTCTGTGAGTTCGAGGCCAGCCTGGCTACAGGAAAGGCGCAAAGCTACACAGAGAAACCCTGTCTCAAACAAACAAACAAACAAACAAACAAACAAACCTCTGTCCATTTTAAAGATAACACAAGACCCTAAGGAAGAAGGATTCAAACGCTCCAAGAGGTTAAGGTGCACACACAGCTGAGAAGAAGCACCCTGCTCAGGGAAGCCTAGTCCTTCAGGACACCTCCTTGCAAAGTTCAGAATATCAAGTCCCAGGGCCCAGTGACAGCCAGCGCATGTCCTGGCCTTGCCTCAGTATAGCACAGGAGACTGTAGCCAGACAATCCCAATTGCCTCAGAGTTGCAGACGGGTTGCCCTCAACCAGCACTCGGCCTCTGCCACACAGCCAGTGCTGGGATGCTCACGGCTTGGTCTGGAGAAGCTGCCATTGGCTGCTGGCTTGGGGAAATGGTGCTTTCAGGCGAGTAACTTCCTACCTGGGGTGAAATATGGAGCTGATATGAGAAGGGGAGCCAGCTGGGCACCGCGGAGGCCCTTTCCTTCACCTCCCTGGGCAAGAGCAAGCCCCCTGACGGAGAAGCAGAAGGCTGCCCTATGGGTTCAGGCCCGATCATCCAGGAAAGAAGTCTGTGGGGGCAGACGGAAAGCCTGAGCCCACCCGAGCCTGTCCCTCACCCATCCCGATGTCTGGATGGGGACCCACAGACCCCTGAGTGCTTGTCTGTTCATAATCAGGCCTGGGGGTCCCACCCACTACCTGAGATTTGGGGACAGGAATAAGGGACTATCAGTCAGATACTACAGAGGTTCTAAAACCACAGGTGCCAGAGCCTGGACCCCTATGGAAATGCCCCAGGCCCCACAGAAGGCATGCGGCTGGAAACTCACTGCTCCTCTCAAAGACAAAAACAGTTACTTTCTTTTCTAGTTTTCAAGTGCAAGACACCACCTGCAAAACAGACTTTGGAGTCCCCGATGAGGGAGGCACCAGAGCCCAGAAACATGCGAAGTTACTACGTCACCTCAACCCCTACGGAGAATAGTGCACTGGTCCTGGGTGTAAGTACTTCTGCCAGGTCCCTCAAGAAGGCTACCCTGAGGATCCAAGTCCCCAGCCCAGTGCCAACTGTGCTCAAGCATACCTATCTGACAGACCCCAGCCAAACCCCACTACCCCCTCATCTGACAAAGCTCTGCCGCCCCGCCTTACCCATCTGACAGATCCCAGTCCATCCTCGTTCATCTGATAGACTCCAGCTCGGCATCATCAAATGTGATAAGTCCCATGCATCTCTGCCCCATGTGGAAACCCCAGCCGGCTACCTCATGTCACACACCTGGTCTCGCTGGGGCTGAGGATGGCCAGCCTCATGGCTGTCTGTCTCAAGCTTCACGGCTGTCTGTCTCAAGCCTGTCTCTTGCCTGCCGTAAGTTGAGCAGGCTGTGGGCTTATTGACGACAGCAGCAGGGAGGTGGCCGCTCCCCGCCCCTCGCTGTCTGCACTGCTTACGCCAGTCCTGAGGTTGAGCTGAAAAGCGGGGATTTCTGGAAGGGAAGCTGGTACCTGTCACCTCTGAGGACACCTACAGAAAAACAGCAAAGAACGCATTTGCTCTAGAAACAACTTGAAATGGTTACCCGGGCAGCTCGGCCCCACCCTGGGATGCTTCCTCTTCCTTAGTTCACTTCATTCTTTTTTTATCATGACTGGGCAGGCCCCCACAGAATCTGTGGTCACGAAATGGCACCCTATCCCCTGCTCCCTGGCCAGAGGCAGCAATGTTCCCTCTCCTCCATGCTCATGAAGATGTGTTTGCCAGTCGTCACATATCCCTACCTGACAGACGGCAGAAGCAGGCCTGGCTCAGTCGACCCACAGACAAATGCAGACCGGCCCCTCCTGACCTTCTGCCTCTTCAGAAACCTCAACCTCTGGCCACAGGATCTGGAGAAGGTGCTGCTGAGTCCCCTACTGTCCTGTGGACTGGCTCCCAGGGCAGGGCACCACTCCAGGAGATTCTTACCTCTGGTCAGATAGGTGGGACAGCAATATCAACACCTCTCTCCCCTCCCCACTGGGCTCCCCCCCCCCCCCCCCCCCCGCCATCCCGCAGTAGCCTGGTGATCTAAAGGCCAACGTATCCCAGGAAGATGCTGAACATATGGAGGTTACAGTGGGCTCTAAGCCACCATCTTCTCCTGCACAGGCTACAAGTTGCCCTCAACCCTGTCTCTACACCCCACCAGGCCACTTGTACTCTAAACTGGGTTCTGCAGGCGACTCAGGACACCACTACCCAGGCTGCCCTATGGGGGTGCCCAGCCCTTTTCTCAGGGGCTTTAGATCCCCAGGTCTCAGAGACCTGGCCATTGCTGGTCAGGTTTCAGGGTCCTGGCCAAGTCTACACTGTCCCTGCTGGGCAGCCTCAGGACCATATCTGCAGACTGACTGGTGCCTCTTGCCTCTACCAGCCTCAACTCCTGGGCTATACTCCCTCCCTGAGGCCTGCCTGCCCCAGCCAGGGCCCTGCCTCGGCAGCCAGCCTTCACCTTCTTCACATGTGCTGAACCTGCTAAGCCCGCACCAGGCCCAGTCAGTCTCTCTCTCCTCTCTCTTCTCCTCCCTCTCTCTGGATCCATATAGCTGGATCCAGCATACTGCTCCAGCGCCACGCTCCCCGCCATGATGATAATGGACTGACCTTCTAAAACTGTAAGCGAGCCCCCAATTAAATGATTCCTTTTATAAGAGCTGCCATGGTCATGATGCCTCTTCACAGCAAAGAACACTAAGACAGTGCTCAGGCCTGCAGGCAGTTGGAGAGCAATGCCCTCCTCTTGAGGATTCAGAGTACTGGGGGCCACCTCCAGAACCTGAGTTAGAAGCTGGATGGAGCCTGACCTTCCACCCACCTCCCCGGGCCCACCTAGTGCCGAAGGCAAGCAGAACGCTAGGGGTGAGCCTGTCTTTGTCTAAAATGCTGACTGTTGTTGGTTGGTTTTGCTCTTTGCTCTTTGGGGGGCCCACCACCCAGCTCCCAAATAAAATAACGCACACATTTTCTTTCTTATAAATGCCCGCCCGGCCTTAGCTTGGCTTGTTTCTTGCCAGCTTTTCTTAACTTTATAGTATCCTATCTCCCTTTTGCCTCTGGGCTTTTACCTTTCTCTATTTCTGTATATCTTTCTTTCTTACTCCAGTGCTGGCTGTGTGGCTCTCTCCATCTATTTATCCTCTCTGCCTGCCAGCCCCACCTATTTCTCTCTCCTGCCTCACCGTTGGCCGTCCAGCTGTTTATTAGACCATCAGGTGTTTTAGACAGGCACAGTAACACAGCTTCACAGAGTTAAACAATTGCAACATAAACAAAGTAACACACCTTAAAACAATATTCTACAACAGCTGACAATGATCTACACAGATATTTTTGCATTTGTCTTACAAAGACAATGCCTTGAGCATTGACTTTTCTTGGAGTTTATTTTAGGGTTCTCTTAGGTGCTACACCCCATCTAGTGACCATTTAGCTGCACACAAATGGCCCAGTCCCAGGAGCCGGGATCAGAAGGCGGGATCTTCTGTGTTCTTGACCCTGGCTGTGTGAGGTAGGGTGAGCAGAGAGGATGTGAACTACCTCCCACTTGTATGTTGGCACTTTTGGTTCCTTCTTCACAGAACACGGTCTGGAAGTAACCTCTCCCCTCCCCCACTGGCTGGCCCAAAGCCAGCAAAGACATGATCCTGCTTCCAATGCTAGGCTGATGGGATTACGGACTGGAATCCACAAGAGACGGGTGCAGAGTGGAAATACGACACCTAGGATTGTGAGCCCCACTCAGCCATTGGCCCCAGGCGATCCAGCCTTTCTTACTTCCCATTCTGCCCTCATGCCAGGTCCTCCAATACCAGCGCTCAGGCTGCCGAGGCCACCTCCCTTTATTCCACAAGTCCTATCCCCACTTGACAGGACAACAGGGGGACAGAAATGGTAACACCCTCGAGCTCCACTTGAACGGAAGCCCCTCACCATCTCAGGACCCCAGACTTTCCACCTCCTCAGTAAACTACTGCCCAGAAGCCTTGCCTGCTGTCTGAAAGCCCCCAGCATCCAACCTCATATCGATTCCAGGAGTTACCAGTGAAACACCCTGGGCACTCTCTCGCCCCATCCACTCCCTCCCCCCTTGGACCCAGTAACCCCTCTGCGGGGCCTAGCCTCAGCTACGCCTTTCGCCAGCTGTCTACTCCAGCTCTCCCCAGCTCTCCACCGAGACCGTTGGGCATTTCCCACGGCACACTGTTCTTCTGGATGGTTTTGGCCCTGCTGCTGTCCTCCTCTTTGGCTTTGTACCTTTGTCTCCTCTGCAGGGTGGTCTTGACAAGACACAGTGAAGCACCAGGCTGTGGCTCTCACCTCCAGCCGCAGAACCTGGTTTTCCATCTTGGTCCTTGCCTCTGTAGGCCTTGCCAGGCAGCCTATGGCACGGCCCAGACTTTTGTCTGGAGACTAACACTCCCCAAACTCTCCTCTGCTAGCAACACACACTCAAGTATCCGATGTAGTGGCGGGATCTGCGATTCTCCTGAAAGTCCCCGGCAGAGTAAGGCTGGGGGGAGTGGGATCTTCATTAAGCAGATGTGACAGAGGTGGCCCTGTGGGGATGGGTGGCTGGGACCCTGTAATCTCTGCCTTACCCCCCCCCCCCCCCGCTTTTCTGTGCATTTGAAAATTTCCACAGGTTTACAAGAATAAAGAAATGAGTGTACAGCTGTGAGGTGGCCTATGAATGACGAAGTCCATCCGTTATTTAGGCAAAGTGGCCACATAGTTGAAGGACATGATGCCACAAGGCCATTGGCTTTGTTGTGGGGTCCCTTCAATCTGAGACTTGCCCTATGTAGCCCCTTGATGGCGGCACCCCAGCCTCTCCTGGCCTTCCTGAAAAAGAAGTCACCTCAGGCTCCTCCAGCTTCCTGCTATGGCAGAAGAACCTAGACCATGGAAAGAGATTTGGTTTGTGGCAGGGGTGAGGTGACTCGGGGGGGCTGAGTTAGCAGCGGCCACTTCCTCTATCTTTTCCTAAACCAAAGTGCCATACGGCGTCTGAGAGCTGTGCCACCCACTCACACAATCATTTATCCACGCATGCCTTCCACAAGGCTATGGCTTACGACAAGGGTGGCAGTAGGGAGCTGAGAGAGCGAGGGCTGGCTAGGCCTGGATTCACACTCTCTCTTAGGTGCTGGTGTCACACTACACAAACATGCTTGTATTTCCCACTCAGGCTAATTCAAAATGATAACGTCAACAAAAACATGGCAAAGGCAAAGAGAACCCATCTTAGGTCCAAGAAGGGCATTGGGGTCATGCTCTAGCAGTCATATCTGAGACCCCAGGGCCCCACAGTCCTTGGGTAAAGTTGCTGGCTCTCTGAATACATGGAGGCTTCCTGGAGATGAAGGCATATCCTCCCACTCAGAGATACTCAATCTCCCTGGATAGCTCTGGCTCTGCTATACCTTGGCTGCTTCTCCTGGGTGATGCTAAAAGCCCCTTCGGGACTCTTCTCCCAGAAGCTGGACCTCTCCCTCCACCTGTGGCTAGTTAGTGCATTCACAGGTATAATGACTACAGCCCTGGTTTGGCTGAGTGGCCTTGTCCACATCAGCCTCTCAATCTTCTTGGCCTCTCTTCCATCTTAACCAGCACCTGGAGCTGATGCACAGACCCCATTCCTTCAGTGGGCAGCTCTGGCCTCCAGCCATGCTAGTTCCATGGTCTTTACAGGTGGGATTTCCATAGACCATGGGGTTGAGAGCTTTATTAGGAAGACTCTAACATAGGATGGTCAAGGGACATGGTGAGGACCCAAAGAATCCTCCAAGAGTCTTGAATGAGGCCCTTAGCTAAAGGAGTTTTGAGGGGGCTTTAAGAGAGTTATGAGGGGATTGATATGAAAGGGTCCAGGGGACATCCTGAGAGAGTCCTGAAGAGATTCTGAGGCACTCTGATGAGATCCTGAAGTAATCCTGAGGGTTCTAGGGGATCCTGAGGAGGTCCTGAGGAGACACCAATGAGGTCTGAGAGGACCCTGAGGTAGTCTTAAGGTTTTTGGACATCCTGAGAGAGTCCCTGAGGGGAGCTTTCAAGAGTTCTAAGTAAGTCCTGAGGGGCTCCTGAGTTGTGAGGGGGTCCTGATGGGTTGCGGTAGCATTCACTGTCCTTCCTCCCCACTCATCCCTTTACTGTAGGAGCCCAGCACCCACCTCCAGCAGTGAATCTATGCCAGAGAGACATGGGTGTTATCCTTTCTTCTAGGAACCTCCTGCCCCCTTGCCCCTTGGTGCCCACAGAGGGTTTAGGTCAAAACCCATGGGCTGAGGGCAGGTGCCGGCTCAGATGCTGACCTCCAGTCCTTTTATCCTGGTGACTCACTCACTCACCTCAGGCAGTGCTCTTCTGCTCCAGGGCCTTCCCAAAGTGCTGCTTGGTTTCAGTGCTGTCACACACCCTTCTGGGACTCCCTCCGGGACAGTGGGATGGGACCTTGGGTGTCAGCCAGGCCACAGGTTCCCGCCTCTTCAGAGCCTCACCGCCTCTTTGCTGCCCTTGAATTGCTGGTTCACCCTCTCTGCCCTCCTTCCTCTTTTTCTGACCGTAAGGCTGGCTCCTGACCTCACGCTAGCCCCACTGCTGGGGATGCTGTCTTCCCCCACAACCTTCTAGCCACCCATTATGTTTCCTCAGTCTCAGGGAGTTTCATGAACACTCTGTACCTTTCTCGCCGAGTCCTCCCCGCTCAACCCACCTCTAGTCTGAGGGCTCCTCTAGCTACTCCCTTAACCCAGAATCCTGACAGGCTTCTGGCAAAAAGCTCACAGGTCCTGAACTGTGGCACAGACCTCAGACTAAAGAAATCTGGTGGGACAAAAATGACAGTTCAGGCCAGGCAGTGGTGGCACACACCTTTAATCCCAGCACTCAGGAGGCAGAGGCAGGTGGATCTCTATGACTTCAGAGACCAGCCTGGTCTACAG